ATATAAAGTCCATGCCTTAATCAACTCTCAACACCATCTGTTCAAGTCCCTTTTATGTAGAGATTTTGTTTTACCTTGTGTTTGTTGTACACTTTCCAACTTAAACTATAAAAATTGTATTACAAGTTTGAAATTATGATCATAAAAAGTTAAATAAGCAAAGACCATTTCAATATTTATTGGGTGAAAATAACTTACATCTTTTTTTTTTATTAGCTGTACTTCAATTCTGATCATTTCACCACATCAATGGATTTTTCATCCAACAGAGATTTTTCAAAAGTTAGTGTACTTCAGGACAAAGGTGAAAACCATAAAAAACATATGGTAGATATTAAATGTGAGTCATGTGACATGAAAAAGCAAGAAATAATAAAGGTAAATTTTAATTTTGAGGGGAATATAATGTGCACCATTTACAATCAAGCTGTACATTTACATCGTGTATTAATAGGCCTATTTATTATACATAAAATGCATGCTATGCTTGCTATGACATTGGACTTAGCAAGACAATGTCTCTTACACAATATAATTTAAGATTGTGGTGGGAATTTTCATGATTTTCAAAAAAGAAAAAAAAATGACATGACAGACTTGGGGGAAAAAATTAAAAGAGACTTCTCCTGATATGTTTATACATTATTGCACATTATTAATAGACAAGTTAAATACTACTACTGTCTGAGAGTATGAAAAGTGCTTTAATAGAGCTTATTTTCTAAAAGTCTTGGGGGCCTAAAGGGAAAAACAAACAGCCATACATTGATTATAAACGAATGAAGAAAAACAAGTGTTTCGAAATGATTGAATTATTGAAGTATTTCACCTTTTTCACCCTTGCTTTTTCAAGGTAATGTGTTTTGACATGGAGATGTTTGCTCATGAGAACGTTCCCATTGACCACACTGTATGGTGACCCTTCATGCAATGTCAGTGTTTTTCTATGGCATAGCATAAGCTCATTCACGTGCATGGCAAACACTAGCCAAATATTTTTTTTTTACTCTGGGTCAAGGGGTTTCTGCTCAAAATGTTATGTAACATGGATTAGAACGTTATCTTGCTAAGATCAGAAAACTGGCCTCTATTTATATACTGAGAGCCCCTAAAAAGAATAGGCACTGTTTTACTTTCCAGTGCCGGTGGATGTTCTCCCTGTCAGTCAGAGAGATGCACACTGAGTCAGCAGTTTGACATTTGACCCAAGTGTTTTTTCAAGTAGTCAAGTGAAGTGAAGAGTGAAAGCCGATAAATGGACAGATGCTAGTAAAGAGCTTAAACCCAAATGTGCTGTGCGTAAACATAAATTTTTTTTCATTCTGCAAGGTGAAACAGCAGGAAGTAGGCATAAAACTACTGATAGACCAACAGCCCAGGCTGATCTAACAGGTTTAAATCTACATAAGGGTGAGTAAACGAATCTTCATTTTTGATTGGACTATTCCTTTAAGCCACATTAAATTAAAGCTTGAAAAATTAAACATGATTTAGACACATTCTCATGAATGAGGCCCACTGAATTCAATATAAGAACATTTAATCATTCATAGTGAATCTAAGTGATTAAAAAGCCATGATACAACTGTAAAAATGATTGAAATGAAGAATATCACAAATGAATCATATTAATCATAAAAACAAATATACAAGACGAATGTGTGTTGATTTGTGTTAGTTTTTTGTCTGAAATCTTTTATTTTGATTCCCTCTTATAGATGTTCGTCACCGTGCCAATAAACACATTAATTTCACTGAACATTCACTGTGCAAATGTAACATTCATTTCACCAGAGATATTCAACAAATAATGAAAACTCTGCAGAACAACCCAGGGTCTCTTACATGCAAACTCTCTGATGTTACTTTAAAGGAAAAAAAGAAAGAAAAAGATATGTGAGAAATAATATTACAGGAACCTCATTTGCAGTGCATTAAAAGGAAGGATGTGCTATAAATAGAAAATGTGTCCCCGTGTCCCTGCACCTTCTGACCTGAAATATAGCTTAGTGGAAATGTTAAAGTTCTGGAGCAGGGCATGGTTCATTTTCATTATGTTTTATTATTATTATATTTTTCCCCCTAAGAGCTATACCACAAACACAGTCCCTTTCTCCCACTTTTCAGTATCACACTCACAATCATGCTTTTGTTCTAAATGTCAACAGCTGTGACCTGCCAGCCATAAATAAAATATAACTAGATAACTGCATCTAACTGTTATATAATTTCTATGAAGATATTGAAAATACATTATGGTAGCAAAACATTGTGTGCTAATCATCATTAACTGCTGTCCTGTGGCTAGCCTACAGTCTCAATACAATAACATGGGTAACATTTTTTTCCAGTCACTGGCTATAAAAATGGATTTATGTGGAAGATCATAGGTCAAATTCTTGTTAAAAAAGTATCTCTAATTAGAACGGTATAGTAAACACATCGCTTCTCTGCAGGAGTCACAGCACTTCCTTTAGTTTAACGAGAGCTTGTGTATGTGCTGCTCAATAAACTAAGCTGACAGGAGTCAAATGTCACTGATTATACACTTCTTACACACTATTACTAAATTATGGGTTCTTGAAGATGGTGACAAGCACTAAACCTAAGACTTATTGCATGAGACAGCAGATGTAAATGCTAAATATAATCTTTTACAGTTGCCATTGTATTTGGCAAGTAGATACATTTGAACATGTGATATGTAAAGAATAATGTACAGTCAATAATAAAATAAAATAAATGACTACTTGCCCCAGACAGGGGGCCAACTTACCCTAATATTGGCCTCTGTGAATAATTTTACATTTTGTTCTATAACAACTAAGTTTGCAAATGTTTCTATTTCCTATAAAAACACATTGGCTGATGCATCATCATCCTGCACATGCTAAACTTTTATCTAAATATTAAAAGTAAATGCACATTGCTTTTAAGAGGTGCATCTTTCCTATTCTTTTACCCTATATTAAATAAGCTACATATCTATTCAGTAATGGTCATTCTGCATGTTACCAAAATTTATCCCATTAATGTGACGCAGCTGAGCCAGCCAGATTCATTTGGTTGGATATGAAAGATATGTTCACAGCACTGCAATTGCTTGAAATAAGATCCATGCCAATATTATAGCCTATGTTTTGTATGGTGATTCCAAAATCAAACTTGCAGAGAATAATAGCGGCCCATGAAGGAAGCTTATGAACACTGTGAGCATGGAATGTGAGTGCAAGTGTGCCTTTGATGCACTTCTGTCATTGCCCAAAGGACCCATAATTTTAGCCACCTCAGTGAGAGAAAGTATGATTGCCAAGGTGAAATGACAATGGGAAAAAGGAAAGGGAAACAGAAGCTAGCGTATATGGGAAATTATGGTGACTTTTTTTAAAGTTTTCAACACAACTGTATATCATCTGTACAGTTTGTGCCGATAACACAAAGGCAGTAGTTATGCAAAGTTAAATAAACTCTTTAAAACTAATATATCACAAGTCCATATTACATGCATGCATACTGCAAACACTCTGTATGCAGTTATTGTCATTTGGTATTGACAACCCCCTCTGTTCATGTTGAAACAAATATATGAGGTAGAATATTTATTCCCTTAAGCAACATTGTGCCTTTTCATTTTCATCTCAATAGGAGATGTATTAGGAATGCAAGACTTTAATACATTCACAGCTGGAACATTGCACACACCAAAGCTATTATGGAAATTTTGTTGTAGTGATAGATGGTTTGAACTAGAATGACACATAAGAAGAATATGTATTAGTCAATGCAAGTTGTTTAAATATTTGAAATGCGCACAAAACCAGCCTTGAACAGTGTTTTAGAATTTCTACTGCTTTGTAACTGGTACTTTAAAAGCAAGAGAGAATATCTCTCATATCTTAGGTTATAACATAGAATAGAGCTATTCAGTTTGTAGTCCTAAAACCCAAAAGCGAATCGTGAGGTCTGTGGTCATTATTTGGAGATCTTTTCACAGTTTTTTCTACATAAATAAATGACAAGGAAGCCCCAAGGATGATTTTTGAAGCTTGGGTGTTTTTCAAACAGTAAAGCTACTAAAAAGATGTGAATTTATGAAAACGTTTAGTCCTTTCTGCTCTATTCATGATACACTTAGATGCCCATAACGTTTTGGACAAGACCACTTTTTTGTTGTTGACGTATTTCCTATTGAAACGAAGATGAGGCCATGTTGTGTGACTAGTGCAGTCCGATTCCCTGACAAATGACTCTTATGAGCCGGTTCTTTTTAATGAATCAAAAAATACAGCGCGACCAATTCAGTCTGATTGCAGGACAAACGACTCTTATGTGTGCCGATTCTTTTAAATCAGAAATACATCGCGGAAACCCTTACGAAAATTAACCATGTTTTTATTACAGTAAAATTGTAATAGCCATGTTTTTTTTCTTTGGCGTAGCCTACTGACTACCATTTTTATAACAACAGTTTTACTGCAAATGCCATGGTTAAACTACGGGTAGTGTTAATTTGGGTTAGTTACCATGGCTTAACTAGTAACCATGTTTTTTTTTGTTTTTTTTTGTAGTAAAACCATGGTTAATTTTCGTAGTGTAGTCCGATTCTCAAAACACTTTCATTCAAACCAATTTCTGAAATAGGCTAATCAGACACTTAGGCTACTTAACCACAAGTTTAGTTTGGTCATTTCTGCCTCAAAACGAACCAACTGTTGCTGTGTCATGTTAGCTGAAGACTGATTAGTAGGCTAAGTGTCGACTAGTTGTGTTGGGTTTATCTGCTTTGTTGAGAACTGAATTGAGCTTCGCAACAATCTGAGGGTCTTTTTCAAACCTCAAAAGTACTGGAGTCTTTCGGAAGAATCGGAACCAGAATAGTTCATTTCCTCGCGATTCCTTAATTCCCATATTTCTGACTGACATGAGACGTGACCTGCGGCAATGGAGTGACGCGCATGAAATCGTGAAACCTGCCCACAGTCCGTGAACACAACCCACGGAGAGCGCGAGCGCCTTGTGAGCGTGGAGACGGACAGTGAGCGCGCTCATGATGAGAAGAACAGCCAGTCCAATTATCCGTGTGCCTTCAGTGGACACTCCCTTCTCACTTCAGTGCTTACTCAAACACGAAATCCAGCGCTGGATTCCAAGATACTGCTCGCGTGGAGATTTAAAACTGGACAGAGGCATGATTGTCCAGAAGAGAAGACGGAGGGATGAGAGTGCGTTTGGTGCCATGATTAACATCCAGTTTCTGCTTGTGTGCTCCTGAGAAGAACGAAAAGACAAGAAGTCAAGTGGTCTAGCACTCAAGACAGCTGATGAGGAGCAGCAGGAAGAAGAGATCTGTCAAAGTAGTAAGTGCGCAATGTTTGATTGCATAGTTGAATTGTTTATCATGTGTTGCATAGTAAATTTGGCATGGTACTTAACCCATTTAAGCCTGAATTATTTTTGCGGGACATCGATATGATCATGCTTTAATTCTACTTGAAATGTGAACATAATTGGTAACCTATCAACAGAATTAGTTCTTTTTAAATAGTCCTTTCTCCACATCGTTTGGCATATATTCTGAACAGAACAAGATCTTGCTAATTATAGATATTTGTTCAAGACAAAGTTAATGCAAATTCTAAAATCAAGGTGTTTTCTAAAACAAAGTAATACAATGATAAATATGAATAAAGTAATAGCTGGAATTCAGTATCTTTGAAAGCAGATAAAGTAAAACAGTGTTGCAATACACTTGCTGCAATGGTGATGGCTATTAGATAGCATTGTGCAGGGTCTGAACCTGTAACCTTTCAGTGACCAGCTTAGATTATGTATCACAGCGCCACACCACCCACACCACTTTGACATGTTTCCAGATTTGTAGGAGGAATATTGCTGGAATCACATCTATCAGTTTTGCAGTACAGTACAGCCTCTTCTGCTTACACTGGGACCCATCAAAAATAATAAATAAAATCTTTAATGCAATATAAAGGATTGTCTTACAATTACAAATATCACCTTTCAGATTCAGTGTAAAACAAAATATTATGCATATGGTTTTAAGATATAGGCTTGGCAATTCTGTTATAAAATGGGAACAAAAACATTTAAAAACAAACACCAAAGAGAAGTGATTTAAATGGATCTGCATGGGTTAGTTTTTTTTTTTGATATCCTCTGGAAAAGAATGAAAAAGTGGACATGCTCTGCTGGAGCCCCCTGGGGCTTCAATAACTAACAGATCATTAATAAGCATTGAGGTCTGAATTATGCACAGAGGGAAAATCTGCAGCTCTAAATTAGTGCTAAAACTTGTGTTGCCTTGCATAACATACTTCCACACACTGCATACTGGATACTAGCGAGGAGAACATTACGTCCACCATCACTGGCTTGCTAGAGAGGCTTTTCACACTTGGCTGAAACACTGCAGAAGTCAGTAGTGAAAGAAACGAATTAAAATCCTCACAGATGAAAGGCCAGGTTCACTTCTTATATGATGTTCTTGTATAAAAATCCAGCCTAAAGTCAATTGTAAATGCTTGTGATTAGAAATAATAAGTCGAATGTTTGAACATATATCATAAACACAATGTTCCCAGTGTACAAATTCCAAATACTCAATGATTCAGAATAATAACAAGATAAATCTAAGTCCATAATCTGAATCATATTCATCAGTTTTAAAACCCTGCAGCTGTCTGTGCTTTTCATAGCTGCTATTATTTATTAATGTCTCCATGTAAAAAACATGAATGTGTTTTCGTTCATGTACAAACCCACATGGAAAAATTATATTATAAATATCTATAAACAAAGCAGAACTCTTTAATTTGAAATACAAATAGCTATAGAATTACTAAAGATTCATCAGCAGTCGTTTCTTTAAAATTACAGCTGTCTTTTATAACCCATCTCTCTCTCTCTCTCTCTCTCTCTCTCTCTCTCTTCTCGCTCTGTCTTGCCCTCTCTCTCCTTTTGTTCACCCCAGTGGCTGCACCTGATCTTTTAGATCCTAAATCAGTCACACGCAACACCAAACCACGGCTGTCGTTCTCCTCCAAGCCCATTGTATATAACTCGGGGGATGATTGTGATACCATAACCACCGTAATGAAGTGGAAAACAGTAGTGGCGATCTTCCTGCTGGTTGTTCTGTACCTGATCATCGGAGCCACGGTGTTCAAAGCCCTGGAACAGCCCCAGGAGAGCTCGCAGAAGTACCTCATCGTGCAAGAGAAAATTAACTTCCTTTCAAGGCATACCTGTGTCAACGTCTCTGAACTGGAGGACCTGGTCAAGGTACAAACTCCAATTATTTACCTGTGTGCTTGAAATTAGAATTCAAAGTATCTGTTTGTATAGGTAAAAATAGCCTTCTGGATATTGATTCAAAGCATATAGTGGTTTTGTCTGCAGGATGTTGGGTGAATAGACTAATCTTTGCCAAAATCAATAATGACAGCTCGGGAAGTTGGCAGAAACAGTCTGTAATCTGATTAATTGGAGCCAGCAAACACTAATTGGACATAAATTGTTCTGTGCATGTTGTTCTGTTTCTGAAGTATGATGCCATTTTTTTTCTTCAAAATTCTAAGATTGTTATGCCGAAATCATAAACATTTCAGACTAATTTGATCTGTATTCATGTAATATTCATAGGCTTATAACTATATACACTTTATCTGCTCTCCAAATTGGGGTTGCTGGCAGTCGGGTCTGTTATAATCTTCTTTTAAATGAGTTTTAGTGAGTTCACTTAACACTAGTTTACCTGTGGGGAAATGAAATATGCTCTTGACATTACATCACTAATTAGCTCCGATTTATTTCTGAAGTCTGTGGTATTTACCTTTGTGCAAGAAGTAGATTGAATATAAAGTGACATTATATAAGTGCAGAGTTTATTGTCTGCTGCAAAATGTACTAAATTAGTCTAGCTGCAATTTAAAGGTCTTGGATGATTGTGTGAGCTTGGTTTCCATCGACATGGACAAAAACACCAGAATGTGAATCAATCAAATGTCTTAAATGTGCATTAAATCATAAGCACTTAAGATGGAAGTGCTGCTTTATTCATAATATGTTTTTTGGGACATGTACTGTAAATAAATAATTTTAATAATAAGTTATAAGTTCAAATTTAATTTGCAACTTGGCTAGGTTGATGTTATATTTAAAAAATATTTCTTTATACGATTTGCGTACTTCTAGTGCAGTTGTAGTGTGTTGTGACGTGTTAAAGTAACATCCTATCCTATTCCTGCTGTTCCAGCCCATAATTCTACATTTTCCAACCCCTCCCCCTTGCCCTTACATTAAATTACATCCCAACACACTGCGTTCACCTACTTCCCATCTCTTGATTATTGGTGTTACGACGCTCACGTTCACACACCTCTAAACAAATGTTCATTCCTGCCAAGTTGCTTTGCTGCCAGCAGCCCAAGTCCAGTGGTGATTGTGCCGACACTTGGAAGGTGTTCACAAACAGGAAAACCTCCCCACGGAATGAATGGCCTCTCTTTGCCTCTCACTTTTGGCTGAGCTCTCGTGCAGCCAGCTGGGAGCAGATGGGATACACTCAGGGCTCTTACAGCATATCTGCTATACGGCATGTAGGCCAGGAGAACCTGCACACTCATGTACAGATGTTTTTGACAGTGTTTACATTTCTCATTCACTGCTTAGTGAAAGTGTGCCCAGTTTTTTATTTGTTATTTTTTTGGCTACAGATTTCTAGGCTAGTGAGAAAATATGGCTGGAATATGGACTAGGTCAGTATGGCCAACACCTGATATACCCACTACAGAATTAAAATAGATATAGTTACTTAAAGGGCTTGAATGTGTTGCAGTAACCTAATGTGACATAAATAAAGAAATGAGAAATATTTCCTTTTTTGGCCTGTTAGTGCTTCAGCACTGTTAGTGCTTATTTAATCACCCCTATTAAAAAGTAATATATTTAAAATACATTTATTTCATACTATGTATAGTTCAAATATATTAATATATTTACTGACATATCACTCGAGACTTACTGATATAAAAATTATAATTAAACTTTATTTGGAGTACTACTTGTGCGCAATGCACATTTCTTAATATTAAGCCTAAAATGGGTTTTAATATCACTATAGACCAATTCAGAGTAGACGTCACAGTTACGTCACTTGCAGCTGCGCGCGCATAGTGGTTGCAGAAAAACACTGGGAACAAGTGGAGGTAAATTGGTAAAATCCATGGAATAAAAGAAAAAAATATTTTTTGTGCCTTTTGATGTCAAGATCGTAATGCAAATAATTGTTATAGAATACTGTCGTCAAAGACGCCATTTGAAGCTAAACGCAGACGTTTAAATGGACATACTATGGATGAAAACTGCTATGATTACTCTACTTTTAAAGCATAAATTTTATTTAAACAATAGATCTACATAATATTCACGTATGCTGCTCATAGGGGACGTATTGTATACCTCTTAAACCTTACTATTAACATTTTTACATAACATTTATTTATTTTATCTCACAATTCAGACTTTTTTTCTCGCAAATGCAAGTTTATTTCTCCTAATTCGGACTTTATAACTCGACTTAACTCAAAAATTGTGAGTTTGTCAAATCTGAGGGAAAAAGCCAGAAGAGCCGAGGGGAAAAGAGAGAATGACGAGTTGTTTTTCCTTATTAGAATTATGAGATATAATCTCGGAATTGCGAGAATAAAGTCAGAATTTTGAAATATAAAATCTAATTTACCTTTTTTTAATTCTTTTATTCCATACACAAAAACTGACACTTGAAAACTGTAATTGTCTGCCTCCAGATAGGCTCCGCCCACAAAAAATGTCATCCCTGTTTCGGATCTGTAAGACTATCCCACTCTCTAACGTCAATTTCGTTGAATAACAGTGCTTATCGCTGGGTGACAAGCTCTTGTAATATGCGGAGAACATTTTGAAAATGACATCTAATCAATATAATTTATAATCTTTTTAAACCTAACTATTTTGTACCGTATCCGTGAAATTCTCTAGCCGTAAATGCTATCTCTCCCAGGTTTTCTGCAACCATGATGCGCGTGCATCCTGAATGTTTACAAACCTGTAATTGGTCTATTGATGAGGATTGTATGATCTTTGGTTAATATCGGTATTTAAAGGGATAGTTCACCCAAAAATGAACCCCCCAGGGCATCCAAGATGTAGGTGACTTTGTTTCTTCAGTAGAACACAAACCAAGATTTTTAAGTCAAACCGTTGCAGTTTGTCAGTCTTATAATCATTGACTATGGGCATCCAAGATGTAGGTGACTTTGTTTCTTCAGTAGAACACAAACCAAGATTTTTAAGTCAAACCGTTGCAGTCTGTCAGTCTTATAATCATTGACCATTGACTACTAATTGAGATTGTAGATAGAGTGTCAATGGTCCATCTGAGAGATAGGTGGCGGTAATGCACTTATAAGTCTGCGATCCGCCGTAAAGCAAGAAGAAGAAGAAGACGCGTCAGGCGCCGGCTGTTGAACGCACTCAGTATGCGCTGTGGACAGTTCGGACATTGAGGTAAAAAACTATATAAATACTGTTCAGTTTCTTGCACAGACCGATTGTTTCATGTCTTTACACATCAGTGTATCGTCACGAGCCGCAGGGTTTAATTTGGTTTTGTTTGTGTATGTTTTTTTTACTCTCAAAGCCGTGATTCCCATCCACTTGCATTATAAGACTGACAACATAAAATTTTAATTTTGGGGTGAACTATCCCTTTAAATGCAATATATTTAAAGTGTACATGAAGTATACTTGCAATAGGTCCACTTTAGCACAGTCAAATATACTTCAGGATATCTTTAGTTGGACTTCAGCACTACATCTGCACAATTAAAGTGCATTAAGCACAAAATTCGTTTTAATCAGATTTTAAGTATACCAGTTTAGTATACCAAAAGTACAATTGCAGGGTATTTTATTAAATACATAATTATGTAAATGTATTTGTAGTACACTTAGCTTGAAACAAATGTACTTCGAATACATTTAAGTATATTTATTTTTCACTAGGGACCTTATTGCAATGTTGATGTTGTATACTAGTGGTACATTGTTGACTGTTTTTAATGGATTACACATTTTAATTTTAATCATTTAATAGCAACTTTATAACTTCCAACTTTATAACTTTATTTTTGCAATGCAATTTGTTGTTTGGATATTAATTGCAATTTTATTTTTAATGTTTGCAGTGCCATTTTTGTTATCTGGACAATATTACTTATACTCATAATTGCATCTTTATTTTTCAGTTTTGCAATGCAGTTTACCATTATTTTAAAATCTCCTTATTACAACTTTATTTTCAATCTTTGCAGTGCCATTTTTTTTTATTTTGTTATCTGGACATTATATTTTGTAATTGCAACTTTATTTTTCAATTTTCAGTTTTACATTATTTGGACATTATCTCATCATTTAAACTTTTTCTATGCATTCTCTTTGCGGTGCAGTTTTTCAATTATCTGGACATTAGGTATCATAATTGCAACTTTATTTTTTAAATTTTGCAATGTAATGTTCAAATCATTTTCAATGTTCCATAATTTGGTTACATTCCATAACTGCAACTTTATTTTTAATCTTAGCAGTGCATTTATTTTTAATTTTTGTCATTAAAATTAAATTTTTGTCATTTTTGTCATGTCATGCAATTTACCATTATTTGAACATTAATTTGATTGTAATTGCAACTTAATTTTTTTTACATTTTCCATTATTTCAACATACATATTGTAATTGCAACTTTTTTTACATTTTGCAGTATCGTTTTCTGTTATTTGGACATTATATCTCGCAATAGTGACGAGATGACTATAATACATTCTTGCCTCATGTACATGTACAAGTCATGTATAATAATTGAAAGAGATATAGTGAGTGAGCTGTGACGAGCCATTTAGGTATGCGTGGTTGACTCTTAACTTTTATAAAGAATATCTCTTTGGATTTGAGACTTTAGTCTTTGCAACTTTACAGATCTTCTTTATGCACCAAGACCTTGTAACACTCCAAAGAGAAAGGAAAACTTGAAATCGCATCATATGACCCCTTTAAGGACCATGGACAGCTCCCCTTTTTGTCCTTCACTTAGTTTAGTTTCTAAATTATGCATACTTATGAAATGCACATATGCTATATATATATATATATATATAACACCTACAGCAAAGTTTTTGTCTTCCACTAACTTTTTGAGTAATTTGAGTTTTTAAAGTTTTAATTTAAAATTACACTTAGTTTAGTTTCTAAATTATGCATACTTATGAAATGCACATATGCTATATATATATATATATATATATATATATATAACACCTACAGCAAAGTTTTGGTCTTCCACTAACTTTTTGAGTAATTTTAGTTTTTAAAGTTTTAATTTAAAATGACTTTTTTTTAAACAAATCTCTTTAATTAGCCATGCATTCCCTAAGTTTAGAATCAATCCCAGCTACTACTAAGTCACTTTAGGTCTTCAGGAAACACAATGATCAGAGAAGGAGGAATATCAATCTCAATTACACCATCATCCTTTCTTTAAAAAAAAAAAGCACAGTCTGAAACACAAGAACTACAAGAGGTATAATATTATCCCTGCTGCACAAACACAGGTGCACACATTCAATAAGGCAGCCATTTACTATAACGGATTTGACAGTGAATGAAATTACAGATCAAATTTTGTCTTAACTCCCAGCTGACTCGCTAATGTGTGATGTAAAATCCAGAGATGCTGTGGAAGACTGATAAAGAACAGATCCGTGTCTTTGTTTGAGGCTCTGAATGTAGGCAGTTGGAGCCAGTCATCCTGTTCATTCAGAGACACACAGTCTGCTGTAGATCTAAACATGTTACACACAATCACAGCTGGGCTTTGGCTCTGTTAAATATGATTCAGCCTTGGTAAATGGAAAATATTGCTGTCACTTTATAAATAAACATGTCTTGTATTCATGTAATGCTTTACCTGCTGAGCATTTGTCATTATTTGCTCACCTTCATGTCAATCTGACCCTGCAATATTTTCTTTCTTTTGTGAAACATGATTGGGGGAGAAACTAGGCAGAACGTCTCCTTTTGTGTTTCACAAAGAAAGAAAATACAGAGTCGGTATAACAGGGTAAGGGAGTAAATGATGACTTTTTATTTTTGGGTGATCTGTTGCTTAGTTCTAATTTTTGGAGATTATTCTTGACCTGTTTTCTCATCCACAGCAAGTGGTGTTTGCTATCCGGGCCGGGGTCAATCCCTCGGGTCACCCCTCCAATGAGAGCAGCATCTGGGACCTCAGCAGCTCCTTCTTCTTCGCAGGTACTGTCATCACCACTATAGGTGAGTAACAGCTGTACTCATTATGAATTAAAAAATATCTTTATAAATATTTTCAATTATAGTTGCTGCAATAATTATTCGTGAAATGTGTAAATTACAGCATTCTATTTAGGAATGTCAGTCAGCTTGTTTTAGAAAGAAGCCTATTATGCTCACTAAAGCATTTATTTGGTCAAAAATACAATAAAAACAGTAATGTTGTGAAATAATCTTAAAATTTTAATTAACAGGGTTTTTTTCTATTTTAATATATTTTAAGATGTAATTTATTCCTGTGATGGCAAAGTTGAATTTTCAGTCTTCAGTGTCACATGATCCTTCAGAAATAACTTTAATGTACTGATTTGGTACTCAAAAACGTTTCTTTGATGAATAAAAGTTCAAAAGAACAACATTTATTTTGAAATAGAAATCTTTTGTAACATTCTAAATGCCTTTACTGTTATTTTCTATTAATTTAATGCATTCTGACTAAAAAAAACATAATTTCTTTCTTTCAAAAAAAATATATTTCTGACCCATATGACTATTTCTTCAGCAGAACACAAAAGAATAATAATAATTTTGGGTGAACTGCTTTAACCGCTAAAATTAGTTGTTTACATTTTAATATAAATTCTATCAATTGTAATAATTGCAGTTAAAATATCAAGGGTAATTATCAACAAGGAAATAATGTTTGTTATAATAGTGTAGCTCTTGGGGAAGTCGTGGCCTAAAGTAACCCAAAGGTTGTGGGTTCGAGTCTTGTACCGGCAGGGATTGTAGGTGGGGGGAGTGAATGTACAGTGCTCTCTCCCACCTTCAATACCACGACTGAGGTGCCCTTGAGCAAGGCACCGAACCCCCAACTGCTCCCCGGGCGCCGCAGCATAAATGGCTGCCCACTGCTCCGGGTGTGTGTTCACGGTGTGTGTGTGTTTACTGCTGTGTGTGTGCACTTTGGATGGGATAAATGCAGAACACTAATTCCAAGTATGGGTCACCATACTTGGCCACGTCACGTCACTTCACTTCACTTCACTCTGACTAATTTATGGTCATGTTGGGTTATTTGTCTACACACGCAACATATTATAGATTCATTTCTCAGTAAATAATCAGCAGCTGCATTTTTCACTTTGACTTCATCACTAAGGATGTGTAGGAAATTGTGTTAACATTATTTAATAAGCTTGATTAATGAACCTTAACTAATCCGTTGGACATCTTTGACCGTTCTTAAATACATGTGTACGGCACCTTTGAAACTTGCTGGAACCGAGCCAAGTAGTGGATTAAAGACCAAGCCCCCCTTCATCAATCCCCTCAGTGTCCCTCTTAGGTTGTGAAGTATGAAGTGCAATTAATGAACCGAGCGGGTCTGATAGCTTGACCTTTTATACGCCGATGAAAGAGGCCAAGGTCTTGGAGCTGCCTCCCATCACATCAGATCTTTTGTGTATAAATGTTCAAAAGTCTGGGGTCACTAAGATTTTTTTGTTTAAAGAAATTATTTTATTCAGCAAGGATACAATTAATTGATCACAAGCGACAGTAAAGTCTTATAATGTTGCAGAAGATTTCTATTGTCTTTTGAACTTTCTATTCATCAAAGAACCTTAAACAACAAATGTCACGGTTTTCACAAGATATTAAGATGCACAACTGTTTTCAACATTGATAATAATAAGAAACATTTCTTGCATGTCAAATCAGCATATTAGAAGGATTTCTAAAGAATCATGTGACACTCAAGACTGGAGTAATGGTGGCTGTTAAAACAGAGTTATATTATTTTGTTAATGTTGTTTTTATTATTTATTTTGCATGAATCAACACCATCCATCATCTTTTATTTGTGTTTGTGTCACCCAGGGAAGTCATTCACAGGCTTGGCCTTCAAAGCTTTAACTGTTAATTTATTAACTTTTTGTCACCTACATGATGGCAAAATGGCATTTATTGTCATTTGAATGAAGACCTGTCAACTCCCCCTGTCCACCCCAATCAGCATAGGCGCGCACTCACACAAGCACACACACACTTTGGAGTGTCCTTATGCGGTCATATGTTGGTGAGGGCATCGCATTCAGTAATACTCCGGCATCAGCACATGAGTGCCGAGCATTTGCCAGTGTCGCAGCCCTCACAAGACACACTTATGTGCTCATTAAGCTCATTCAGACACTGCTGTTACATCAGGTTTGCATCAGTCATCCAGTAAGTAGTGCTGCTTCACTAATGAGGGTGGCATGACATTTTTTGCTCCTTGTGTCAAACTGACTTGTTTTGTGCTCAAAGTCAGCACATGACGGACTGAGATATCTGGCAGTTTATTGCTGAAGGCAGATCTTATTCTGCTTTTTTAACTCATAATTTCAGTCATTTAGGTGTTATGATTCGTGAACGAGTTGCTGGTTGGTTTAGGTTAGGGATTCTTAACTACTTTTTTCTGAGTACTTTACTTTTTGAGGACTTTTGTACCTTAATGTACTTTTATTTGTTATTATCATTATTATTATTATTATTCAAAAAAGGCTGAAATTATTAAAGTAGTAAGAGACAGTCAAGTAAAAAAAATTATGGTTCATAAATTCCTTCAAGAGGACTGGCTGGAGAACAAATATGACTTCACAACCTCAGTTATCAAATATATTTTTGAAAAATATTATTATGTTTTTAAGTGTTATATTTTTAAAGGCAATTGTTTACAAATTTGGGTAACCGAGGAAGAACTGGAGGATCTGCTGAAGACTGCACCTTTGACAGTATAAACTATCATAGTACAAATTTACTTTATATCTGTCCTTTTGCGTAAGAAATACATTTATTGAAAAGGAGAAAATATTTGTATCTGTAGTCCTACTATTCCTTTAAAGCAGTGTTTCTCAACCCTGGTCCTGGGCGCCCCCCAACACTGCACATTTTGTGTGTCTCCCTAATCAAACACACCTGATTCAACTCATTAGCTCATTAAAAGAAACTCCAGGACCTGAAATGGGTGTCAGATAAGGGAGATATACAAAATGTGCAGCGTTGGGGGGCGCTCAGGACCAGGGTTGAGAAACACTGCTTTAAGGGCTTAACAAAGGCTTTTTTTTCCTTCAGGGTTATTGAAACCAGTAGTTCAGATTTGTACTTGATTTTCCATCTCTCTCTCTCTTTTAGCAATAATTTTTCACATTTCCAAAAGAAAAAAAAACATGTTAGGTTCCATAAATTATATAAGTATATTTGAGTTTGCAAGACATAAAGACACATGTACACTACTATTCAGAAGTGTGGTTGGCAAAAAATAAAAAAAACAGGGTTGAGAAACACTGCTTTAAGGGCTTAACAAAGGCTTTTTTTTCCTTCAGGGTTATTGAAACCAGTAGTTCAGATTTGTACATGATTTTCCATCTCTCTCTCTCTTTTAGCAATAATTTTTCACATTTCCAAAAGAAAAAAAAAACATGTTAGGTTCCATAAATTATATAAGTATATTTGAGTTTGCAAGACATAAAGACACATGTACACTACTATTCAGAAGTGTGGTTGGCAAAAAATAAAAAAATTAATTAATGACATTTTCAAATGCTTTTTTCAATAAGGATGCATTAAATGCTATAAAATTACATTAGAATATTACAGAGGAGTTCTATTTTAAATAAACCCTGTTATTCTGAACTTTCTAAAGAATCTTGAAAAAGAAACACTTCCACTCTTTCCACATTTAGCACATTTTCAATTAACATGAAGATGTAGAAATGTTTCTTGAGCACTAAATCAACTTATTACAATGATTCTGTAGGGGGGGAAATCAGCTTTGCCATCACAGAAAAAAAGTGAAATATATTAAGAAAAATATTTAAAAAAAAATATATATATATATATAAAACACTGTTTGCTTGTATGCAGCTTCAGTGGTTAGCTTTTACGAGCACAACAGACTTAATAAATGAAACACATCGGTAAAGCAGGGAGATTGAGAGCATAGTCCATTTTTCTTTGAAGGTTAGGTTTTAATCATCGATTTCTCTCAATGTGCAAGACACATAGGCATAAAACTGTTAGATATGACACAATCACTGCTGGTTTATTTTTGGAAAACTTTAATCAGGCAGAGCAGCTATTTCATTTAAATCAATTGGAGTGCTGCAAAAAATTATTTGCATTGCACCGGCCGCCACTTTGGGTTCTTATCTAGGGTCTCTGACATATTATCCATTATTACATGTTGTTTGCTTCTATTTAAGGTCAGGAAATTAGATTTTATCTGAATAATGATGAGTTTGCTCACAGTATTGTTTGCATCAGGAGAAAATAGAAATACTGAACACATTAACACACGTTATAAATTTTTACTGCTGAGAAACTTAAATCCTTATAGTTAATCAGCCGGAACAAGTGAGATATTTTTATCCAGCCATGAACATGTGGATAATTTTTCCAAAAGACTATGTGTAAAGACATTACAGTTATTCGTCTCCATTGTGCCATGTGTAATTAAGGTTGTCTCACAGAGAGCCAATTTTTATGGCTCTTTCAAGGTTTTTTGATTTCATTAGATTTCAAAGAGGACAGATTGCATGAGGAGTGATTGAGCCCAGTTAATGAACTTCAAGGAAAATGGAGACATAATTGGATGGAGGCTCTTGCGGAAATGCCCCCCACTGCTGCCCTTCACTCAGGGTGGTTCTGTCCAGTGGCTTAGCTTTTTGCTCTTGTAATTGCTTAAATTCCTGCTGTAGTACAACCACAACTACTGGTATTCTCATGGTCTCTGACTCTCCCATTGTAAAACTGTCTTGCAAAACCATTAAGTCACCTTTATTTTTATAGTGCTTTATACAAGCGCGATCAGTTATGGAAACTCAACTATGGAGACAGACCAGATTCTGCTATAAAACTACTCTAAAAGACAATAGGGTCATTCTTTTACTCAAGTCAGTTCAGTTTTGGTTCAGTTCAGATCAATAACAGTGTGAAGTTCATCAAATTTAAACAAGTTTAATTCAGCTATAAGTATTTCTAAAGAGTCCCAATCATAGTTTCCTAAAAAAAAAATTTTTTTCAACCAGCACTAGCAGCTTGTAGTCTCACAGTTTTAAAGGAATATTTTTTGTACAAATTAATCTAAATCCACAGAAGCTGTGGAACATTGTTGATTAAAGGGGTCATATGATGCGATTTCAAGTTTTTCTTTCTCTTTGGAGTGTTACAAGCTGATTGTGCATAGATAAGATCCCTGAAGTTGCAAAGACTAAAGTCTCAAATCCAAAGAGATATTCTTTATCAAAGTTAAGACTCTGCCACGCCCCCCTAAAACGGCTCAAGTATTTGCTATTGACTGTTCAAATGCAGAGTTTTGCGCATCGTGTGTGTGTGTGTGTGTGCGCGAGAGAGAGAGCGAGAGAGAGCGCGCGCGCGAGAGAGAGAGAGAGAGAGAGAGAAACAGAGGGGGTCACGTCACAAACACATACCAGCTTCATCACTGTGTCTGTCACGCGACTCTGTTCCCCTTTCGGGCTTGAACTGATGGTAAAACTAATGATTATGATTATAATAATTATTTACTGTCTTTACATTTATTTTGAAAGATGAAACTCGCGATTATGGTAAGGGGCGTTACATTTCCGACGAGTGCTTGCGGTGTTCGGCCAATCACAATGCACTGAGTCAGCTGGCCAATCAGAGCAGACTGCGCTTGTCGGAAGGAGGGACTTTGTAGAAAACGAAGCGTTTGAGAGAGGCGGGGCATAGATGACCTACAATAATGTACAGTATTTGAAAAAGAATGTGTTTTTTGAACATTAAAGCATGCCAACATATTATACATATATATACACCAAATACACAAAATAATGATCTTTTATCAAAAATGATCTTTAAAAAGCATCATATGACCCCTTTAAGACAAAAAATAATTTTCACTCTTTCTCTCTCATTTTCATTTAAAGGGGTCCTATTATGCTTTTTCACTTTTTAAATTTTAGTCAGTGTGTAGTGTGTATGTTTGGGCATTAAAAAGATCTAGAAAGTTACAAATCTCAAA